AATGGGAACCGGGTTGAGGCCCGGAGGCGCGTTGATCGTCGGTCCCGGTGATGGTGTGCCGACCGGCCCTCCAGCTGCGTAAGGATTCGTGACGAAGGATGTCTCGGATACGATGGAGTCGATGGGTTCGCGTAATGCTGGTTGTTTGCCTGCGCGCTTCGAAGGGGGTGACAAGCCCGGGGGGTCAGTCTTGCGACCATGTCCATTACTATGCTTTGGTGGTGATATTGGTAAAGGGGGAAGAGCAGGGTTGCGAGGATCAGTACTTGTCATGTTCATGGTCGTGACGGGCGGTTGGTTGTGGAAGAGGCAGAAGATGTGGTAGAAGCTCGCGCGCAACTTGACGCTCAACACTCTGCACTCTGGCCCATGCTGGTTGTCCTGCGCATAGGGCAGCACGTATAGCTCGAGTATGGAGAGTCCCTCTCGAGACATCCAGAGGATATGTTGATAGGCCGAGAGCGAGGGAGTGTCTCGACTGGTGTCCAGCTTGCGAAGCTTCCGGGCGCGGATGAGTCTCCGGGCCAGGAGGACTGACAGACCCAGAATCTGATAGAGAGCGCTGGACAGGAATGGACTCGTTTCTTCAGTCTGCTTGGCTATCCGGCCAAGGAACTTCTGGTCAAAGTCCAGAGATGCCATGGTTCAGTGTTATAGTCTGGACGGTTCGTAAGTCAAAGCTGAGATGCAACAGGGGGAAAGCGGATTGGTGATGGTTTGGCAATGGGTTTGGCAATGAAAAGGACTCAGATGAATGCTCGCGCCAAGTACAGGTTGGTCGTGAAGTGAGTGGTAATGCGCGACTCATGAAGCACTAACCTTAACCGCCAACCCGGACCGTTGCGCTGTATCCTCTAGAGATAGACACAGTGCAGCCCGGCCCAGGCTGACCGATGACACCGCGCGATGATTCCGCGCTGGAGATGAGGCTCTGGCACCGGTGCAGCGCGTGCTGGCCAATTGATGTGTTTCGGTAGACGACGGGATGTCCGTGCGCGACCCTTGCGCGGGTGAAGGTCGATTCTCGTGATGGCCCAAGTGGGAAAGCGCTACGCGGAGATTTGTTGAATTAGGCGATTGCGATGGAGGCGAATATCATGACACAGCGTATAGATATACGTTGGTGAAGAATGCTGGACGCAGAAAGATGAAGCGGTGGAAGAAGCTCGTGGGTGCGCCACGGGTGATGAACTGTCTGGCCAACTGTCAGTCTTGCTTCCAGATCATGGGAAGCAGCAATGGCTCACCTCGATCGGGATATCTGGAAACGGATAGGGCGAGACGGTGTCGATGGTTAGGGCGAGTGCCGGTCTCTTATTCGACGGCGGGGGTGATGGCGGAGCCAATGGGCGGGCGCAAGAGGTGAGGCGCTGCGAGACCCTTTTGCGACAGGCTAGCAGACGTCAGACGTCAATTGCGCGGTGGATGTTGAGGGTGCGAGGCCGTGGACAGCGCATTCATGGCGACCAAGCCAGCTTTCCTCGTCCAGCGCGCACGAGGCAATGCGACCGTCTTAAGGGCCGTGACGTCGGCAGGCGGTGTGGCAGCGGTCAGTGCAGCTGTTTGGGACGCCGAGGAAGCGAAACTGGGCCGCGCACACTTGCAATGCCTCGAGATACTCGGATAGCCGTTCGATCGCGCTCAGGGCAGGCGGCGGGGCGTCTTCTGGTGATGCGCAGACCCTTGCGCTCGGCCTGGTGTTGAAGAGCGGGCGGCCGTCGCGATGCGAAAATGACAACTTCACCAACGGCGCAAAAAGGAAATGGCAGGGCGAACGCTGAGGAAACGCATGCTAGTAGTAACCCGCGCACTCTATCCGGCCTGCTGGAGACGCAGGTGCAGCTCCTGCGTCAATCTGCAGACAGGCGAGCTATGGTGGGCTACGTGTCAAGCGTCGAACTCCTCCGCTAAACTGCTCACGTCGCTGCATGTCCTTTTTGCCGTTAATAGTTCAGACGGGGCGCTGCCAGCTGGCACGCAGGCTAGAGCTGCCTTCACTTATTCTCCTGCTCGACGTCAACGCCTCTCCAACACGCCCGCTTGAGAGCCTCGCCAACGCGCCCATGCACGCCTGTGCCTCGCCTGCAGTCTCAGATGAACCACACCGTTTGCCAGCGCATCGTTCCACGGCTGGGTGGGGTGCAGTATGCCATCATGCTACTTGTCCGTCTGCCGCAAGAGACGCTTCGACAGCCCTAACTATGGCGCTTCCAACTCCGCCACGGACAGCATGCGCTTGCGTTGTCACTCGGGCCCTCTACCCCACGGTGAGGACTAGCACGATGCATGCTGACGAGACACTGATGTAGACGGGCGTCCCTGGCATGTCAACATGTATCCTGCAGGCTTAGCAATATGCCCGAGTGGATCTCTCTGCGACTCCCAGCCTCGAAGGCGACATGGACCCGATACCTCCATTGGGAACCCTACCCACCATCTTTACATCCAAGAAACTAGCATCCATTGATAGATCCGAGCTATCGTCTCGTCATCTGCGGGATCTGGCGGCGTATCTGCATCGAAAGTCTCCACACGAATTGGCGGTGAGGCCGCATGCTCATTGGCTGGAATTTCGAAAATGCTGGCCTAATGTCGTCGGCAGCTAAGAGCACTACTGATAGCCAGCCTTCTTGATTTACGACCATGACGGCACTAGATTGTATGTCACAGCTTCCAGCTCCGCAAATTAGTTGAAGCGGGTGGGATTCCAGCGCCGTGTGACCGGGACATACCTACCGAGGCAAGCTGGCCGCAAATCACGACGACGATTGCGCAAACTTCAACGGAACCAAACCTCGCAAGGAAAGTCGGTTGATTTCCGACGGTACGGCGGGTTTGAGGAAAACGTGAACAAGTGCGGCGATTTTCCGGTCCTCGAATCAAACAAACTACCATGATGGCCGCCCCCGTGGTACCGCTCAGAAGAGCAAATCTCACTATTGTCAGATCTGATGTTTGGTCATCTCTTAGTATGGCTGTCTCCCGGCGAGTATGGGTTCGTGGGACTTGAGTGAGCCAAACAGTTGCTTCGTGCTCGCCTATCCGGAGCCGCCCGTCGCTGGTTGTGCGACGACACTGGCGCAGCACCCTCAGCATAGGTGCTGACTGCACTTGTTGAATGCTCACATCTCTCATCAACTTGCTTAGTACGACCTCAATGTCAATAGTCGACGACAAGCTGCGACCCATCTTGGAAAGTGGCTGTTGCGGGACTGGCATCCGCTTAGTCTTCGAAACGCCTTGCCGTGGTTGTAACCAGACGGATGAGTTTCTAATTGCTTGGTTGCTCGCGGATGTCAAACCGCGCAACTTGAGCAATAGATAGCAATCCTACAATCATGAACCTATCAACGCATAGATCGTGGTATAAGAGCTGAGGCATACGACAGAGATGGCCACAACATCGGTCATCTGGACTTCTATCGAGCGTTCTTATCCAACACTTTCGTTCCAACAATATCACGTTGTCAATCATCTCAGCATACGTTCTTTTACTCTTTCATTTTCCGAATCAAACTTCATCCAAGGTATGACACACGACAGGAGCTTGCCAAGGCCACAGTGTACTTTGGAAGAGTACCGTTGCTGACCATGAAGTAGACTCCGAGTCACACCATCTCATCCACCATACAACGAGGCTATCCAACTTCACGGTCATCACCATCATCACGCAAAACACAAACTCACAATGTGTTTCTACCACGCCTACTCCCACAAGTGCGGACACACTCAGATGATCTTCCAGCAAATGTGTCCCAAGGGCCAGATCTCGCAGCGAAAGTGCGCACGCGGCCACGACGGCGTAATCCTCGCTACCGTCAAGGTCGAGACGGCTTGTACTGTATGTCCGGGCTAGACGAGTTATAGAATGAGGATCTTTACTTAGCCCACCCATGTTTTACCCTCACATGTATCCAACATATTCCCCAATGCTCCCTCGAACCGCATACATCACAACCATTAGACTTACAATACAAATACTTCCCATCCTCCATTTTCGATCTACATACCAACGTGACGTTTTCCAATGCCTCCAATCACCCACTTACGGGAGCGAAACGGCCCGCAGCGCTCTTTCCCAAACTGTCAAGGATGAAGCTTGAAGCACCTCCTCTCGCAAAAGGAAAGCCCTAGCACGCAGGTTAGCTACCCCACCATCCGGGCTGATCACGCCCACCACGATACCCACAGCGACCCGACCCCAGATCTGCGTTCGCGGATACCTTCCAAAACAAGGGTTCCTTTACACATGCTCGCGTTCGGATTCGAGGATGCTTTAGACTTTTGTGGTGGGCGATCTTCATGGTCGGGGTGTTTAGCCGAGGATAACGGAAGTCGCGAGACAGCACCACAACCGCGACTGCGACGGCAGCGTCGCTCCTTCCTTACCATGACAGCGTTCTGGTTGCCCGTTCTGTGTTGTTGATAGGCATAATATCATGCGCCAAGCACTTCCAGCGAGATGTTATCGCATCACGACATCGTCGTAAACGACCAACAACACCTCATGAGGGCGTATCCAGCTGTAGCTCTGCAAACAGCCTCTGCAATCCGCAACCTGCAATCCTAACCGAACCCAACGATGATCATTTACACAAGGATAATTCCCGTGAATTTTTCCATTGGTCGCACCTCCCTCGGCATCCAAACGTCCCGCGCCCCAACTCACGTTCTCGGTTGCAAATGCCCATCTGACATCCCAATTACCGTACAGAATACGGTCGCACGGCTCGGAAGGGTTGCACCTTGATTGCGGCGCGTGATCATGGGGTTGTGTATGGAAACAAAAGGTTTGCGCTGATGCTTCTTTCCGAAGCCTCTGCTCCTTGCTGCATTCGCCTCACTTTGCAACGACGGCGCGGTATCCTGTGCGACTTACATGCCACTGCCGCGAAACTGTTTGATTCGATACACTAGATACCCGTTGACAGGTTCCACATAGTTTACAGCGGCCCGCAGACGGCAAGTCCTCCCTGTGTTGAGCCGCGCCCGCTGCCGGCATGCAGGCGACCGATACTACGAAGACGGCGGATGGCGCAAGCACGATTGATGAGACTGCACAAGTACCTGGACGTTCTGAACCGAGATTGGAAGAACCGAAGAAGCATTTCGAGAATGCGTCCGCGAACGATAACACGACCGACCAGACACATACCCGCGATCCAGAAAAGACCACGCCACCCCCAGTATCACCACCAAACACCACCGACCCCTCACACCCAGATAAAGAGAAGAGCACAGCAGAAGTCATCGCAAAGGAAAAGACCGCCGATGACACAACCCCCGAAGACACCACTCCCTCCTCCTCATCACAATACCTCTCCGGCCCCAAACTCGCCATCCTAACCCTCGGCCTCTGCCTAACCACCTTCGTAATCGCCCTCGACAACACCATAATCGCAACCGCAATCCCCCGCATCACCACCGTCTTCAACAGCCTCGAAGATGTAGGCTGGTACGGATCCTCCTACCTGCTCACCACCACATCCCTGCAGCCCTCTTTCGGGAAGGTGTATACCTACTTCGATGTCAAATACACGTATCTGTCTGCTTTGATCCTGTTTGAGGTGGGCAGTGTGATTTGTGCTGCAGCGACTAGTTCGGCGATGTTTATTGTGGGGAGGGCGGTTGCGGGAGCGGGGGCCGCGGCGTTGTATTCGGGGGGGATGACGATTATTGGGTTTTCGGTCGAGTTGAGGAAGAGGGCTATTTATATTGCGGCGCTGTCGAGTATGTTTGGTATTGCGTCGGTTGTTGGACCGATCCTTGGTGGTGCGCTTACGGATCGAGCAAGCTGGAGATGGTGCTTTTGGATTAACCTCCCGTTTGGTGCTGTGAGCCTGGGTGTGGTGTTCTTCTTCTTTACGAATCCGAAGAGGATGTACTCGCATCTGCCGGTGAAGCAGCGGCTGAAGAATATTGACATCGTGGGGGCTGTGTTCTTGATCTGTGCGATCGTTTGTTTGCTGTTGTGTCTGCAGTGGGGTGGGTTTAGTTACGCGTGGAGTAACTCGAAGGTCTGGGGGACGCTGCTAGGCTTCGGACTGCTAATCTCTGTCTTCATCGGCCTACAGATGCGCAAGGGAGATCGGGCAACGATACCCGTCCGTGTGTTTACGCAGCGAACAGTGCTGGTCAGTTGCTTATATTCAACACTACTATCAATGGCTTTGTACACGTAAGTCCTACCCCCATCCACCATCCATTCCTACAAGCAAGACACCTAACACCCACCAGCCACATCTTCTACCTCCCCTTCTACTTCCAAGCCATCAAAGGCACCACCGCCGAAGCCTCCGGCATCCGCACCATCGCCTACCTCGTCAGCATAACCATCTCCTCCATCGTAATCGGCGGCCTCATCACCCTCGTCGGCTGGTACGCCCCCTTCATGTGGTTCGGCAGCGCCATCTTCGCCATCGGCGCCGGCATGCTCTATACCCTCACCGTCCACTCCCCACCCGGCCAATGGATCGGCTACCAGATCCTCGCGGGTATCGGCGCAGGAGCCGGTGTACAAATCCCGTTTGTCGCCGTGCAGGTTGTTACGAACGAGAAGGATATGCCTACGGCGAATGCTTGCGTCATGTTTTTTAATTCGCTGGGGGGCGCGCTTTCGATTTCTGTGGCGCAAAATATCTTTGTTAATACGTTGGCGAAGGAGGTGCCGAGGTATGCGCCGGGGTTTGATGCGCGCATCGTGGCGAAGGCTGGGGCGACGAATTTGAGGAATGTTGTGCCGGGGGATATCTTGCCGGGGGTGTTGCATGGGTACAACAACGCCATCGTCACGGCTTTCATATTGGCGATTGCGACGAGTAGTGTGGCGTTCTTTGTTAGTCTGGGTATGGAGCAGAAGAGTGTCAAGGGGAAGAAGATCATGGCCGGTGGTGCGGCATAGAGATGTGGAGGTGATGTTTACACCATTTTATCTCCTTAGTGGCACACCACAGTAGCAAGTTCTCGTCTATACACAAGACCTCAACATCAACACCCCCGCTCCTGGTACGCTCCACTCCTGCGAAAAGCTGGACGACCAGACCACGACGCGCAATCAAGCCATCCGCTCCATACGACCAACGAGCAGCTTCCTTATAGCCTTCTTCTCCTCCTTACTCAACGTCGCCAACATCTCGGCAGTAATAGCCTCCTCCTCCCCATCAGGCTTAACCTCCGCACACACCCGCTCCATAAGCGCCATCTTATACCCCAGCAACTTCTCCTCGCCCTCCCCCTCTACTCCCTTATCACCACGACTCGCAGCAGCCGACATATCCCCAACAACATCAGTCTTCAACGCCTCCATCTTCTTCTCTCTAAGAAAAAGGTTCCGCCTCTCTTCCTGCCTCTTCTCCAGGTCCGTAGCATCGTCGTAGGCGGCTTGGAGAGTTTGCCAGGCTGAGTAGTCTGCGTCCGAACGGGTTTCCTCGTACCGCTTCTCCATTGCGTGGCGAAGTTTTGCTAGTTGGGCTATCTTGGACGCTTCGGAGCGGATCCAGGCTGAGCGGACGGGCTTCTGCGCGTCGAGACGGGCGCGGCCTTCAGGGGACTGCTCGAACTGGCCTTCGATGGTGGAGAGAGGTGGGGGTGGGATGGGTAGGTTTGAGCGGAGGGGTAGACGGGCTTGGAAGGTTGGTTCATGTAAGGAGTGAGGGTCTTCTGTCGAGGCTGGGGTGGCGAAGCCGGATGTTGCGGGTGCGGAGGTGGGCCATGTTGCGGTGGACGATGTACGAAGCGGTTGACCGAACGACTCAGATGAGGGCATGAAAGGCTTTCCGAAAGACTGAGATGAGGTTATGAAGGGCTTGAAACCGCTCTTCATGCGAGTCTCAGATGGCGATGGTGTGGCTAGAGGAGCTTCGCACACAATGACACTAGACGGGTGATGGAAGGGCTGAGTTCCACATGTCTGAACATCAACAAACGGTGGGCGGTTGAACGACTGAGATCCGGTGTCGAAGCCACTGTTACTACCACGTAGGCGATCAGCAGATACCATGCCCACAAACTGCGGAGATCGGGGATCCCAGCTAATCCCATTGTTACTTCCACACATCTGGATGCCAGCCGGGTTATGAATAGGCGGTCTAGGACCTCCATACATGCTAGGATGGACAGACGGCGGGCGAGTGGCAGTCGGTAGGGGAAGCGCACCAACTCCACACATACGAGTCGTAGACCCCGCACTGGTTTGGAACGGCTTATGGTCGACAAAAGGATCAGTGTGCTTTCGCGCATGTCCAGAACCGGTACTGTACGGCGAGCCACCCAAGGTCAAGTTTCCTTCGCCGTCTATCTCAGCGCTTCGAGGGTATACGTCGAACATGGGCGAGTCGATCGAGCCGCTGGATGCGTAGCGCTGCACGGTAGGTGAATGTGGAGACGGGGTGTTCTGCCAGACGTTCTTCGTATCCTTGTTGCTAAGGTTGTGCTTTCCGTACTTCATCTGATCGCTCGTGTGGAGACGTCCGTTCGGGACTGGTGAGAGCGACACTTCTCCAACGTCGCCATCGTGGAGCTGCTCTCGCATACGTCCAGGACCGAGGGGCGACGGTATACCCGGTGAGCTTGACACTCTAGCATCGAGTCTTCGCTGATGCAGGTTCGGTCCGCGCGGTACGATCATCTCCTCGAAAGGCATGTTTCGTGGAATGGGGAATGTTGACTGCGGACGGGCGGGAACATGAGTCTTGGCTATGTTGGGGTGGGAATTGAAGTTGTCCGAGTTTCGTGAAATCTCTTTCTGTAGCTGCGCAGGAGACCACGATATACCCTGACTGGCGGGATTCTGGACTGGACCGCCGAACTCAGGTCGAAACGGTGACTCGACCGCGACGCGGGCGGAGGACTGGCGCTGAGACAATGGTGAGATAGAACCTGAAGACGCAGAGCCATTTGTAGCACCCGTCTCTGATGTCGCGGCGACGGTGAAAGGCGTCGGAAAGAAGGTATACGCACTGCCGTCCTCGGGATCCTTGTAGACGTTACTCAACTTGACAGTAGTATCGCTGGCAGGTGACTGGAAAGCGCTGCCGCCTCCGCCACCTCGCATGGTGCTTTCGGGGGAATCTTGAGTCTCTTGAAGGCTGTGGTTCAACGTAGGTGCGCTGTAGTTACAAAGGTCCTGAAAGGAGGGCAAGGTCATCGACTGGTTGAGTGCGCGCTGGGAGCTCTCCAACGCGCGATCCCATCTCTGCGCCTCAAGCTTGTTGAACGACAACTGTGTCTCGTCGATGTAGTCGTTTGAGCTGGAGCGCTCGGTGGGTGGTTGGCGGCTCTCCATGGCTGTTGTGGGGTCGTGGTGAGCCGGTGTGTGGGAGAAATATTGGTAGGCGCGGAAGTGAGAGAAGCTCAAGGTAAAAATATTCGGGCGGTCATAGCTCAAAGTGAGAGTCGGCCAAATGCGAGTGCGGTGGCGGAGAACTGTGAGCTAGGCGTCGTGGTGAATGTGGATTGGGATTGTCACGGGAGTGGTGAACCTGGAAGGCAGTTTCGCGTGTCGGAGAAAGAGCACTTGCGCACAACGTGCTTCGCGAAATACGTCAACATCAAGCGAAGTTTGCGCACGTTCGGCTGCTCAGTCTTGGAAATAATGATACTTATTGTTGAAGAGGACCTCGTCAAATGGGCGTAATATGCAACTCGGAAGTCGTGAGTGGCTCGTTTACTCGGCATCGCTGCAGTACCATGGGAGGAAGTAGATGAATTGGTCTTATCGATTATGGAGTTCGCAAATTGCCATTTTTTTTCTCTAGCAATGTGGGCCAATTCGATACTGTGCCTTGGCCGCCACTATAGTATCGTAATTCGTGTTGTATCAAGACTGCCCAGGTGGTCATCAAACCGACCTCACAATACCGGATGAAACGGCGGCGCAGCAACCCCATCCTTCACCACCGGCCTCGCAGTCATCCCCAAAACCTTCCTCAGCCTCTGCGAGATACTCCCCTTCTTCTCTACTTTCGTCTCTACCCCACTCCCGTCTTTCACCTTCACCATCCCCTTCCCCTTCATCTTGAACTTCTTCTCCGACGCCCCTTTCCCATCCGAAACATTGCGAACGGGCAAGCGAACGATAGGCTTACGCTGCTCCTCCTTCTCTTCTCTCTCAGTCTCAGCCCTGCGCTCTTCCTCCAGGATATTCCACTCCTCCTCCAGAAACACCATTGTGTCAGCCTTCATCCTTTTCTCCTGCTTGGGCGCGAGGCTTGTCATATTGAACATTGCAAGATATTCGTCGCGGATCGTTGGCCACATGGCTTCTAGAAATGCTTCTTTCGCCTCTTCTCGCTGCATCGTCTTGTTGTCCGACTGCTTAGCTTCCTCGGTGTTGGGAATGACGAGATAAGTGTCTTCGACCTGATAACCTCGTGGTGTCGCATTTTCTCTTCTCTGTCTTCGAGAGGGGCCATAGTGGACTGCGGGATTCCGCGTTTCTTCAAACCAGTACGGCTGCACGTTTCCAGTCACACTTCGTGCAAGATCGTATTCTGGGTCGCTAGCGACGCAGTTGAAGCCTCTGAGGTAGATAGTTGGGGCTGGTTGTGATGGTGACCGGGGACCGGGAACCGTGGTTCGGCGTGAGGGTGCGAATGGTGGGAGATCGGAGGAGGAGTCTTGGATCATGCTTGGGACTTCTGGGACCATGCTTGGTATCTCCGCCATTTCGACACTGGTGAGTAGTATTGTCGTGTAAAGTTGTCTTGTTGAAGCTGGATGCCTTATTATCCCTTGAACGTAGGAGAAGAACAAGTAAATGAGATGATGTGCAAGAAGAATGGGAAGGGAAAGGGTCCGAATTAATCATGTTGCAAATGCTTCGGTTACCCTGAGCCAAACCATGGTTCCGATACATCATACTAATACCACGCTTCTTGTTCTGTTGGGACTGGAGGGTACCTGCGTACTATGGATCCAGGGACGTCGCGGCTAGTCGTTGAATGTGTGTTCGTAAGCACTGGGTCTTGGCTGGCTGAGCCATAAATCAAGGGTTTTGATAGTGTAACGACACGTGAACAGAAAAAGTCTGCAGCCATTAATGCGCATGTCGGTAACGAGTTTCGAGTATACTGACGCGAGGAGCCTGCGCAATATTTCCATATTTTACCTAGGTATCGCATGATTGTGTCAGTGATCTATGTCGGAAGGTATCATCGCGATTTACGTCGAGATCTCTCGTGCCAGGACCCTCGCGCACTCTTTCCAGATCTACGCCAACTTGCCCGGTACAAAAGGCAGTCCCCCACTCAACCCCCCATCCACAGCCCAAGCCTGCGCATTAACATAGCTAGCCTCATCACTAGCCAGGAACAGCACCGCCCTCGCAATCTCATCCGGCTGCCCACCTCTTTGCAGCGGGTTCAACTGACCAATCTTCTTCTCGCTACCCCTCTTCCTCGCCGCGTCGTACGTGACCCTGGTCATACCAGTTTCGATCAGCCCAGGGCAGACGGCGTTGCATCTGATACCGGAGCCGGCGAGTTGGTATGCGCACGTCTGCATGAGGCTTATGACGGCGGCTTTGGACGCGGAGTAGTCGGTAGGTCCGGCGTTGGAACGGAGACCTGCTACACTTGCTGTGGCGATGATGCTGCCCTTTGGGTATGGTTTCTCATCCGAGATTTTGAGCATAGCGCGCGATGCATGTTTTGCGGCGAGGAAGACGGATAGGGCGTTTGTGCGCAGGACGTTCATGAAGCCTTCTGTTGACTCCTCCCAGAATACCTTGCCAGATGATATTCCTGCGTTGGCGAAGAAGACATCGAGACGGCCGTATGTGTCTAGAGCTTCTTGGCAGACTTTTTGTACGGATGCCTCGTCTGCGGCATCGAATTGCCGGATATGGACCTCGGTGGAGGGGTATAGGGTGTTGAGTTGGCGCTTGTGTGTCTCGAGGTGGTTGTCGGCGAAGTCGCAGACGTAGATTGCGCGGGCGCCGTTGCGCGCGAATTGATGCGCGCTTGCACGGCCGATGCCTATCTCTGAGTTCGCGCCTGGTTATGCTGTTAGACATGCCCTGCATATTTGATGTGTCAGGGAGATTGAGCATACCGGTAACGATGATGACCTTGTCTTTGACGCGTCTGCTTACCATTAGCACAAGCGTTTGTGGCTACAGCTTTGCGGGCGCTCCCCATACTCACTGATTGCCCAGATCCCCCGCAATCTCTCTGACCCCCTTCAATCCCTCGAAACTCTGCGGCTCGGGTAGAGGTTCGGAGAGCTCCTTGCTCATTCCCTGCCGCTGGACCTTTGCGACTGCGGTTGGCATCGTGAAAGCTTCCTTTAAAGTCTTAAAATTGTTTCTGATGACTACTATAGCGTGTTGATAGAGCTTTCACAGTCGCGAGTGTGATGTATTCGTCAAATGGGTAGTAGAGCTTGCGGAGTTCGATGCGGAGGTTGCAGAATCCGGGGAAGATGCCGAGGCAACTCCAATTGGGGCTGGGTGCCACAACGTCATCGGCGGAGCGATTCCTAGCTACAACCCGAGGTCCTCTTTATAGCACTTTCAAATTCGACCAACAATCATTTGCAACGCGGGATGGATTGGGCTTTCAAGCCTTGGGTAGTTGGTGCCTGTACGGCTTCGAGGAACGATACGTGCCGGCTCTACCTTCGCAGCTATGAACCCACGTCGCATCGGGCGTGAGCCTTTTAGTACGCATGTCGCATCCACGACAAACCAAGAGCTGGATCACAGTGCGAAAGAAACAAGAGAACCTCGATATTCTATTCAGCAGGCGAAGACGTGTCCGTGGGCATCTCACGAGACTCTTCCAGAATTTGCTTCCACCGATCATGTGCTTCCCCGGCTGGCTTACCCAGATACGTATGTCAAGCAACCAACCCAGATGAATGGCTCCACGTTCACGGCCACAATACGGAGGATGTCTACTTCCTCTACCGCTCTTTGGCTTTCGCTTCGTTCCAGACATCACCATACCCCATATTGCCTGAATAGGATTAGCAGGTTACCAAGCCCGTGTTGTTTCCCACTTACGAGTGACATTACGGACTTCCTGCTGTACCGAGTAGTACAAGTTCTCCATGGCCTCGACAGTCGATTCGGCGTCTTCACCCCTGAGCACTAGCTCCCATTCGGCTAATGATGCAGGTGCGGTATAGACGATAACTTCAGCGATGTAGCGCTCGTTCGGGGGCTTGAGTTCGTCGATGTCGAGAACGGAGGTGATAACCGAGAAGGTGTATTGGGAAGTAGGGTACGAACGACCGTACAGGGCGCGGACTTGGTCTACATGGTATATTAGTGGGGGCGGGTGGTACAAGAGCGAGGAACTGGTACCAAGGATCATGCTCTTGAGCAGCTCAATGGCCTTGAGAGAGTCTAGAAGCGAAGTCGTTGATAAAGTTGGCGCCATTGCGAGGAGTAGGTGATGATTGTAGGCAACGGATGACTGGGGTGTATAGAGCAAAAGGCTGAGTGTTGAACGCGTAGTCGTTTCAGGAAGTCTTGGTGGCCGCTAAGTGCTTGTAGAGGCGAAGGCAACCGAGCAAACGCATTGACGTAAGATAAGGTGAAGCAGCTCCTTATTGCTACATTGGGATATACCATAGCCGAGCTAGTCGCAGAGCCTTTCTATCTCGGCCATTCATTGGTGTTCGGAGTGATACTATCAAGAATGAAAACCGTTGTATTCAACTCCAGACCACCTCGTGGAGTGCCTCTCGTACCTAGATCACACGGCCTCAACACAAGAGAAGAGACATCTGCCAAGCGTTTCCCACCCATAGAACTAGCAAACTGTACTCTGGATATATATGCTAGTTCTAATAGATACTAGGAAGAAGCAAAACCACCGTGTACAACTCAAAACATCCCATCGAATGTTTCTGCTACCTAGCGCCGTCTACCACTTGCAAGAGATGCATTCGGATGCACCGCTTTGATGCAGTTTAGCAACGAAGGAATAGAGTCGTCTTCTATAGGCGCGACTAGATCCGTTAACTCTTCGGCTTCCGCTAGCGTCATTTGTAATTTCCCTCTGTGCTCTGCTGAGAGCAAAATTTTCAAGGCCCCGATGTTCTGGTGCTCTGCGGCAACGCCGATAGGCCTCTTCCTCAGGGTTTCGCCTTTGTTGATATCAAAGACATCATAGCCCATAAGAATCTCCAATGCGCGGTCTTGATAGTGCTCAATAGCATGGCATAAGGGAGTATCTCCAAGGAAGAACACCATTGTAGACGTTTCACGACATTTCCTTGATCTCAATGTATGTTGAAGATAGAATTCCATAAGTGCGGGGAAAGCAGAATTCGCGCCTGGCTGGATACCATCGAGCTGACGGTTGATGAGTAGATGGTACAAATCCATCAGGTACTTGATCGCTTGTGTATGACCATTGGCTATAGCCGAATAGAAAAGCCGGCCAAACAGAGTCTCCGGAGCAGCCCAAAATGCCGATGTATCTTCCTCTATCTTTAAGTCAAGATGCGTGAGAAGTTCAACAACGTCTGCTCTTCCAGGCGGCTGGAGCATGAGCCATAGCAATCCGATGGCCTCTTCGTCGGTTTGAACGGCCATTGCGCCATTTTTCAGCATCCGCAACAGATTCTCTGCAGTAGCGCATGATACAGCAGGGAGGTCTGATAGATGTTGCAGTGCGTACGGCTTTGCGTAGTGTTGGAAGAGGAAGTCATCCATGGTCGGCGGTCTAGGTGACCTGAGGTTTGGAACGAAGGTGTGCGAAGCATCAAATTTAGTCTTCTTTCGTGACCGCAACATCTTCAGAGTCGCAGCCAAAACATCATTGTCTCCATGTTTCGTAGACTCCATGACACGATCTGGCACTGATCCTACATTGAATACAGGCCGGCGAACAGCAAGCTCCGTGCCAAAGATACCGTAGCCGAGGTAGGTGATGATTATCGATGACATTAGCGACCGCGCGTCCTCCATTGTGAATTGATCCCTGGGAACTATGTCTGGTGAGGTGAAATCGTCTTGGAGCAAGAACTGGTCCACACTCGGATGAACTGTACGTATCGTATGTTCCTCTTCGTCGACGGTGATAAGGCACCCACAGGTTGCTAGTGCCGGATATATACTGTTGAGAAGCTTGGAGGGGTCCCACGTAGTGTCGCCTGGGGTGACGCTCAGTGCATCTCGCATTTCGGGAAGCGTAAGTGGCCGTCTCGCAGCCAATATAAGCTTGAATATGTTTGATCGTAGTGCTTGGTCAACACACTTTGCTTGCTGCAGTATTTGACTGTAGATCTCTGAAAGATCTTGCGGCAATTTGACGAGCGCTTTTCGAATGTCGTGATCGGTTTGCATCATGCAAAGCGACTGAATCTGAAGAGCAACCCACAGAAACATGTGTTGCGAGCCGTCCAATAGCGCATTCGTGATCTCAAGAATGATAGTGGGCTCACCCAAGACCAACTTCTCTTCCAATAAAGCGGCCTCTAATTGCGCGTCGACGTATGTTTCAATATCCGAAGCGTTATCGGGAAGCCGGGCAATAGTTGCTTTTGGAAAGTCTTTAGCGATAGACTGCAGCTCGGTTCCAGGTTCCAGGCGGCGAGAAATGCAGAGATGTACGTTAAAATGCGTCGCCATAAGTTCCAATCGCGCTGTGACCCTCTTTCGTTCTGAGGGGGAACATATATCCAGGCCGTCGACTACGATATACAGGACATATCCAGAAGGGACAACGTGAGGCATTAGACCAAGGGGCTGAGGAAGGCTATCTAAATCCATAACCTGAGATTCATCGAGGAGATGTTCGAGTGGGCTGATAATCTGGCGCGAGAGTGCGCCCATGATCGTTTCTGCGTGTTTGCTTTCAGGAATATCGTGTCGACAGAAGAAGTATGCGAGTCCGCAAGCCTCGGGGTCGATGCGCAAGTTGAGATCATCCACAATATTCGCAAGCGTGACAGATTTCCCATATCCAAGTTTCTCAACCAGAATCAGGGTCTTTGAGGCTGGTGCCACTATCCACTGGTTGTACTGAGGTAACTCCTTGTATAGGCAGGTGTTCCCAGCTTTGCGGATCTGTCTCCATGGGGTCTCGTAGTCGTAGGTTGAATAGCATTTCCGAATCTTTCGAAGAGCAATCTGCCTTTGCTGTTCAGAAGTCTTTTTAACATTCAAGCTCATCAGTGCTCTGAACCGCGAATTGCTCTCAGCTTCTGTTTCTACCGTTTGTGCGACAAGGGTCGTGATCTCTTCTTGAATCGACTTCGACCAAGCTATGAGACTTGATCGCAGTTCTTTGATATCGCTATCATCGAGTGAAGATGCGAACCTGGCCAGTGCGGATTTCTGGGTATACTGATGGAAACGAAGACATATCCGTACGACAACAGTGAAGAACTCGACGATGTTGGTTTGCAGAGACTTTGAGCGAGGGTACAGCACTGCCAGATTTGAGTGCTGTTGGGTCGAATGGCCAGCTTCCATAAGAAGGGAAGACAAACTTTCGATGTACTCCGAACGCGTGGTGGCCGCCTAAAGTCATCAAACGGTTAGATTGATCTCCATAATGCAGGAAGCAATGAGGAATGGGCTCTTGTGCCTCGACAACGAATCATAATTCGAATGGATAAGCAACACGGATGTACAACGCGGACACGTACCAGTAAACTCATCCGTATCACTGTCCATACACCACAAGCCATGGCATTCTGGGAACTGCCTACAACCACATCTCCAATAGCAGCGAACTGTTGCGCTCCATGGAGAAACTTGGAAAACCGAGGTCCAAAGCAACGCTCTCCCACTTTCCGCGAAGTGTCAATTCCTGCGGTGATTCGCATGACGTCTTTGGGGCCAGGAGGAGACCTGATTGTTTGTTCCTGCTGGGTTTGAAACGTGCGCTTTTGTCCGTTCGAAAGGCTTGCTTCAAAATCTTTCAAAGCTTTACCCAGTCGAATCTCCGGCTTCAGAGGAGCCGCGGCGGCAAAGTTGAGGGCCATGGTGCCATGGAAAGACGGGACACGCGTGCTGGCAGAGAGGGCGAGGCTACGAGTGTTTGGAGTGGGGTTGAGAATCCGAGAGATCGCTGAATGTCCCCAGAAATCGTGATTGAGGGCGTGAAGATATATGCTGCGGAAGTAGTCACCACCTTAGTTCGGTTGAGGCCAGTCCTGCATCATTCAGCCCTCAGCCGCATGGAGGCGCTGATTAGCCTCCACAACGAGGCGGGGTAACCACATCCTCGTGCCTTTTCTTTTGCTGTGCTCACGAGCCATACTGTCGAGGTGAAATTGGAGAAGATCCTGGAGTATGCGTGTGCGAAGGTCTGGATGGAAGGAGGCGTGGGGAAACAGCGCGAAGACCCGAATAATTGAGGCCACCAAGGGAGTACTCTCTGCGATACGATTCACAAGGTGTGTCTCGGTTCGATATAGTGACAATCGGAAGTATGCCAGCGGTTCAGCCTTGATCCATGCCGGGGAGAGTGGTGGCTGTCTATGGACGCGTCTCGATCAAGAGCGAAGTGCCCTATCGATAAGCCCGCAGCACGTGCCACCGCGACCCTCGGTTTTCGGCGCAGACCATCATCGCAACCTAAACATTTCTGCCTCCAACCCTCACACCACACCCCAACTTCACCCGCCGTCACACACACCACGCACCTCACCGTCCACCCCCCCTCTCGCAACAAATCTCACGCACCAACACCACTGCCAAAATGTCCACCGCCTACAACCCCCAGCAAACCACGGACCCAGCAACCGTCAGCCAAATCGACGCAACCGCGCGCACTGTGCACTACAAGTGCGGCGACTGCGACATGGACGTTCCGCTCAAGCGCGGAGAGCCGATTCGGTGCAGGAACTGTGGGCATCGTGTGCTTTATAAGCAGAGGACTAACCGGTAAGTGCGATTTTAGTTGTGAGAGGGAGAGAGGGAGGCAGAGAGTGAGAGGGTGAGGAGAGAAGAAGAGAGAGAGAAAAGCAAGGGAACACGAGAGAAGAGGCGCGCCCTAGGCCCGGGAGAAGAAGGAAACGAGAGGCAGCGTGCGACTGAGCGCATTCTGAATGAGAAGAGCGCGAAAGAGGAGGCAAGAAGGCGTCAAGCACAAAGAAGAACTAGCTAGCAGAACCTACACGAACAACATCACTAACACAACATCCAGCATGGTCCAATTCGAAGCCCGATGAACGCGCCACTCTCCCAATACCTCGAACCAAATAACACCACACGGCGGAACGGCGAAGCGACGAAGCGGTGACTCGAGGACAGTCTGGCGATATCTCTGCACAGCTAGCAAGTGTATGCAGGAGTAGGAGAACCCGCGACGGAGTAGTTCACATATGACAGCGACATTTGCACACGGAGGAACTTGAGTGAGAGGAGACATGTGAACGTGATATATCAGAAAGCATTAGTACAGGAGTTTGATTCGGATATTTGGATGCGCGTTGAATGCGGTATGGAGATAATAGTAGCGATTCTCAAGACTGCCACTCCATCCATTCTTCTGTCTCGACAATGTCTTTCGATCCCGATCTCGCTTCCTATAATATTAGCACCAATACACATCATCAACAGATAAAACCAAAATCATGACAACCCATTACTCCATTTACGCGCTGTGCGCAAAGATTTATGTAGTATATGGTTATGATATGATGTGACAGTAGTGCCAGCCAGGACACTTTCCTTCTTTCCTTCCCATTCCAGGCTTCATGCTATCAAAAGGGAATGGCTTCGAGACACATAGACGGAAAGCGAAAGTTCTCGACCCCAGGAATCCTCGACCGACCCTCCTTTAACACCCCCTATCCCTCTTCCCTCATCAACCCATCCAGCAGAACACCAATCTACGACCCGCGGAACGCGTCAAAGCGCTTATACGTGTACCCAATGAAGGGCAGGCTCGTTGCGTACTCGTCTTCGTTTGCCTGTGCAGCCTGCGCCCTGTGAGCAGCCGAGGTATCATTCTGGTCAATTTCGTCGATGGGGAAGTATTGAGTATCAATGTTGGACTGCAGTTTAGGCTCGAACGGTGCGCGAATACGGCGGAGACCGTCCCAAGAGACGCCGCGGAAGAAGGGGTGCTGTTTGATTTCGTTGGCGCCGCCGATGCGACCGAGGCGGTGTTCGGCGTCACAGATGAGCCTGGACGTGTTAGTTAGTGGGATGATCTGGGAAGATTGCGTGGGATAGAGGCGCTTACCGTCGGACAAAGTCTTCAGCTTCGGCGCCGAGTTGCTGGTCGGGAGGGAAGTGCAGGTTACGCGGCCAGTCGACAATCTTGCGGTACGTGTCGTGTGGCTCCTCAGCGCAGAACGGCGGCCAGCCGATCAGACACTCGAACATGATTGTGCCTACCGACCACCAATCACAGCTGTAGTCGTAACCTTGACCGCTGAAGATCTCCGGCGCGATGTAGTCGGGTGTACCGACGGTCGAGTAGGCGAGCTGTCGACGAGACTTACGCCATGTGTTGATTTGGGTACGGTTGCTGACAGTCAGTTGAATCTGGTCTAGGTTCATTGATTGTCGGTTGTCGCGGTTCGACTTGTGTGCGCCGCCAGCGAGCAGCTTCTTGTAGTAGTTGGCGTCGTGCTCCTTGTGGAAGCCTGTCGACAGACCGAAATCTGTCAACTTGATGTGGCCGCCTCGGTCAAGAAGGATGTTGTCGGGCTTGATGTCACTGGGAGAGTTAGAATTTCGTCTTGTCGCGACTACTAAACACATACCGGTGTATGAAACCAAGCTTGTGGACGGCCTCTATCGCGAGCGTGATCTCGGCCATGTAGAAACGTGTAATGTCTTCAGTGAAGATTTCGTACTTGATCAGCATCGTCATCAAGTCACCACCTGGCAGGAACTCCATAAGCATGTAGAGGAAAGTGTTGTCCTGGAAGGTTGTGTGCAGCTTGACGACCCATGGACTGTCGGATTCGGCGAGAATGTCACGTTCTGACCGTACGTGGGCCAACTGGTCTTTCTTGAACTGTGGCGTGTGAGCTTAATGCTGCAGGTGGGTATCGAATGAGGACTGCCTACCATCTCCTGCTTCACAAGTGACTTGAGCGCGTAGATTTTGCCGTCGTTGCGCCGTTGCACCAGCTTGACCTCTCCGAACGCACCCTTTCCGATAATCTTCAGTGTCGAGAAATTTTCGGGCTTCTCCTTTGTCCGCAGGAATCGCAGGTATTCGACTTCGGCACGGCGCATGCTGTCCTCCTTGGACCGTTTTCGGCTGTCGGAGATGGACGTCTCTTTCATAAGGGCATCGAGTTCGAGAGCTCTGTAGCAAGGTCAGTAGTGCTCAACTAAACGTCCGGAACTCCCACCTTTGGTTTCGGTCGCGAGCGCGCTGGACACTGTCTTTGAAGAATGTATTGATGAGACTCTTGGATACCATGGCCTGCTTGTCTACATTTTCCGTGTACTTGGTGGGGTTTCGTTGCGGCGCCTCTTCATCGTACAGCGAGGGCTGTCGGGGCCCCGAACTGCCACCCTGGCTTCCGTAGCCATAGCCTCCTCTGTTGTCTGCGGTGCGAGGGCGTCCAGGGTTCGGCGAGGCTTGTCGGCCGTAGGGGCTTCCAGAGCGACCGCTGCCCCCAAGGTGTTGGTGCGACAGTTGTTGGGCGAGGCCATTGGCGCTCTGGTCGAAGCGCTGGCTGCCTGGCGCCTGGAGGTTGCCCTGCTGCCCTTGGTATTGTGCCTGCTGGTAGGGATTCATAAAGTAGCCTCCGCCCCCGTTGTAGCCATTGCCCTGTTGCTGCTGCTGGGCGCCCCAGACTTCCTGCTGGCCGGCCTGGTTGGGGTATACAGGTTGCGGGAACGTCGAGGGTGTCGTCGGGAATGCTCTGCCGACTTCCTGCTGGTACTGCTGGTTGTTTCGGTCACCGCCGCCGAAGCCAAAGTTGAGCTGCAGGCGGTTGCCTTGCTGGTTGTTGTTCATCGTGGCGGCCGCAATCGCTTCGGAGGGGAAGTCGGTGTAGTCGTGGTGGGTGTTGGGTGTCAAGTAGCGGAGGAACACCAAGTCCAAGTCTGGGCGGTGGAGACGGCTGGATTAGGAACAGTGACAATGCCGCTCTCTCACGGGCGTCTTAGCGGTCCACGGCGACTGCAGAGGATTCTTCAGTGCGGCGCTGGCAAGGAGAGGGAGGTGCTGGGGAGTGCCGCAGTAGCTCGGTCAGGGATAACAACTTTAGGGCGAGCTGGGACCACCGGGCGGGGAACTGTGCCAGCAACCCAACGCATGTTTCAGACGACTCGGAGGAGCGCAGGTTAGGAATGCATCTTGATACTCCTACATACCTAGGTAGATGGTATCGCATTTCATAGTGAACATGAGGCCTCCTCCACCGCCCCTCCGCCTCCCCCACCCACCCTGTGCCAGTAACCCAACTCGCGTTTCAGACAGCCTCGGAGGAGCGCAAGTTGGGAATGCATCCCAATACATGGCTGGGTAAAACATGTTCTAGCAGTTTAGT